AACTGGCAGCACGGGACTTGAACGCAGCTCAGCAAGGTTGCTGGAGATCCCTCCCTACCACAAAATACTTATGTGTGTATGTGTACGCATGTGTGTGTTGTATATATGTACATATGTTTAGATGTGTACATACATGTACATATGTACATATGTATATATACATATATGTATGTATGTATATGTATTTGTATATATATTGATATATATGAATATATCTATACATATATAAATACATATATATAATATGAATAAACATATACAAATATATATATTCATATATATATGAATATATATAAACACATGTAAATATATATATATATATATATATATATATATATATATATATATATATAATTGCATATAAAGATGTATGTAAATACATACACATAGATATATAAAAAATATACATTAATACATATGCGTAAATACATAATGTATGGATAAATATATGTAAATATATACATACATACATACATACATATATATATGTATATACGCTTATACATAGTATTTCCATGCACAGCCATCCATGTAATAATTTAACCTTACCGACAGCATTCCGGCGAGATATGTGACGGTCCCTCCCATCTCGACGGCGTTTGCGAGCATCCATCAAAATGCAATGGAAACATTTGTTCTTAGAACTACTTACATTGCTGATCCTCGTGTACAGTTAAAATAATGTAAGTAGAAGTCATGACAAAACCACTGTATTAATGATACGTTTAATTTTACGTTTGCATTCATGATCCTACATTCATATACCTTCTATATGTTTATTAGACTGTGGTCAACTGAGTATTTGTAATGAAATGCACAAAATATATCCCGGTTTATTTCGTTTACTTCATCAATGTTATATCCTATTTATAAACATCTCAATGAATAATTAAATGCCTTGTTATTCATGAAAAACAAGATGGGAAAGAATACATACTGTACACTGAAATACAAGAATGACATTAATGGCAAGTGACTTTTTGATTTTCCTAACAGAATATTTCGTTGAGATTTGGCCGTTCCTTCTTAACTAGGTCATTTCTTTCATTTCACATGTGAAACTAGGAGACACAGGTTTTTCTGTACTATGCACTGTAGGTAATTGATTACTGTCAGAGATAATGTTCGACTCTACATTATTAATATCATGTTCTTTAGGGAAAAGTGCTAAATCCCTGAATGACACTGTAGATTCGCGTCCCTCTGGATACCCTATATTAGCATAAGTTAGATCAATGTCCATTAATTCCACCTTGTCAATTACTGGAGCATGCTTTCCTGGTCCTGGTGCAGACAACCACGATGGTAGGGAGTTCCCATCGGTAAAACGTCACTGAAATGTGAAAAAACCTTTCATGAGGTGTAGTGTTTGTAGGTTGACAACAATGACCTTATAGAATGTAAGCCATCAGAAAGTACAGCTTCCTACTGCTGTACAGGCAAATTTCTTGATCTTAGTACAAGCCGCATTGCCTTCCAGATAATCCCCTTACACCTCTCAACCTAGCCATTACTAATAGCTTGACATGGTGTAGATCTGCTGGTTGGAATCCATCTTTCAGAGAGATGAGAGACTCAAATGATGCACCTCTGACCGAATGAATGTATGTAGGCATTCCGGTAAGAGAAAATATCTGTTATACCGCAGGCATTCAACCACAAAAGCCACATTTTCATCAATAAGCTGTAGTTGTTTATTGAGTTGAGTGACGGCCTCCATAGCTTGTTCACTCAGTGGAAAAGTAGTGTTATTAATTAACGGCAGGATTTTGTCTGAGAAATTGGGTCTCCATTTTGCACAGTAAACAAATATTCCAACAGTTCTCTTCCGTGCCCCAAGACTTCTCGGGGGAGAAAGTTCTTGTAAGGGTCAGAGCCTCTCAGAAGCAAGTTTTATTATACCATTGCCAATGCAGTTACCAAGGACATTAATGAGGGTACAGAAGATATGGTCTATGATTCATTTAGAATCAGTGTCTTGCCACTGATAACTTTGAGAAACTTCTGAACATTTTCATTGTGTTCCTTTTGAGATCGGCCAGCAACTGTAATGCTATCAAAATAAGGGTATATGGGATAATTCCATTTTTTTATCCCAAAAGGAACTCCCATCAGCCTCAAATGCAGTAAATTTCTTATCAGATTCTTTCAACTTGATTTGATGATATGGATTCTATAAGTCAAATGTTGAAAACACACTATACTTGGCTAGATCATTGACCATATTTTCAGCCTTTGATTATGGATAGGTATCTAATTCTAATTAAATTGACTGATTGAGAATAATCAATACAATCTCTTTTTATGTTTGTTAGCAGGGTCTTTCAAAACTACAACTTTAAATTTGATTCTTTAATAATTTCTTCACCAATTAAAGTTTTATCATTTGCACTGAACCCCTGGACTTTGTAGACAGATTAGTAAAGAGAGATGGCTCTTCCACTGAAGCTGTAGATAGGGAACAATAAGCAGTCCTTCTAGGAATTGTTAACTCCTTTGTTCCACCCAACTTCGTGTTTTTTATGCTGTCAGTATATCATTTAAATCATTTAAACATTTAAAATTCCAACATGGGTTGAGGGATAACCCATCAGTGAGCTCTAAATCTACTAAAGAATATCCTGTAGAGTTTCCAAATCAAGTGTCTTCTCCAAAAGACGTTGTCTTATCAGGGGTAAACCAAAGTCAATGATAAAAGCATCATGGATAAGTTCCTGGCGATATTGTTCTGCAGATGCTGCACTTAGATTGCAGTCCTTAGTGAGTTTCTAGAGTTCTCATAGATATTCGTCTAAAGGTCCACCTGAATGCTGTTTCCTGGTAGCTACCAAGTGCCTTGAAAAAAATTCATTTGGAGTTTTCACATACAAATTCTGTAGTGTATATATAGCACTTTCATAACCATTGCACTCTTCTATGTAGCCATACACAGTAAAGGAAATACGGTTTACTAAAGTCCTAAACTTATCAGACGCAGATGCTCCACATTCCTCAATAATATTTGTAAATGAGCGATGCCAGTGCTTCCACTCTTTGACTGCTGCTCCTGCGGCTCATGTACACTAACGCTGTGTAAGCGCGCAGGGAACGAGAGGAGCCCACGATCCAATGAGCGAGAACCTGATGTGACCCAACCTGACAGATATGCTGAGATTCAAGTTGCGGGGTCATGCTGCTACAGGCGGGAGAGTTTCTCCATGATGAGATAACTTGCGTTGCATTAATTGTAATGATTGTCACTTAGGTTTGTCCAAATTTAATACGACACAGTATGTAACATTCTGTAACAAAAACAATATTTCTTAAATTGACGAATTAAGTATGCTCAGACATAAGAAATGGTAAATGTTCCACAATTAGCATAAAGAGAACAGTTCTTGATATAAATTGTACACATATATCAGAGTGAATATATGGCTAACAGCTCAGACATCTTAACTCAGGAAAATGCATGGTTACTTCATGCCAGTGGGCCCTAGACATTAATGGCTCAGTCATTATGAAATGAAAAATAAAACTGCCTCCGAAAGAAGCTTATTCCCTCTCTGTGAAGTCATCCTTTTTTATGTAATTTTGTTCATTTCAAATAGTGTTCCTCTTTCACCATTTCAGGCTTATTGGTCGTAACCCATGGTTAAAAATAAATAAATATAAGTTCAGATTTTTTCACATTAAAATGATAAAAATAAAATAATGAATGATGGTTGATGGTGATAATGATGACAGTAACAAAAGAACAAAATATGTTCATTATAATGAACAATAGCATCTTCCTTTCAACAACTCACCGCAAGGGCAAGGTTATTTCACAAAAAATAGATTCAGGGCCGAGCTTACATTACTGACTTTGGACAGATATTACCATCACAGAAATACGAAAGTTCACTCTTATTATTACCACTAAGACATTGCATTCTGAATTAAACGTGAAAAATATATCTTATCCTTAAATCTACAGGAATGAATTAAAACTTTCATATGCAAAAAAGGCTATATCTGTTACAAAAAATCTGACCACAACATAAACTCAAGTTATAGCTGGGAAAAACTTTCAATAAAACATAACAGAGTTAACATAAAAAAGAGAGAAAGATGAAGAAGAACAAGAACAAAAATAGAAAAAAAAAACAAGAAACAGCATGAAGTGAAAAGGGGGGAAAGAGAAAGACTGAAAGGAAATCCTACTTTACTGACATTTTTCTGTAATTATCTTCTCAATTTAGGCAAAATGAGACGTTCCCATCCTGCGCCCCAGTCACCCCTTCCCTCCTCGCATTCCTCGTCACGTTTTCTTCTTCTCGGGCTTGTCACTACTCGACACCTCACCTATCGACAAGAAGCTGAGGAGTCGACCACTGGCTGGCTTGAAAAGGCTGGTGGCACCACATACCGAAAACAATGGAAATGAAAATGCTGCCCTTTCTGTGTGTGTTCTGTATGGATTTATCCGTGTATATGTGTTTGTAATGACCAGATATATGTTATATATCGGTTTATTTACAAAAGGACAAAGCTCCAGAGAGTTTATGAAAAACTACTATCAGGACATCCCATTTTCTGTAACAGTTTAGGGTCACGGAAGGGAGTCAGAGCGCATTTCATTAAAGCAAATCAACTTGTGTTTGACTACACAACAAGGTACAATGCGCAATAAATGATGTATTTTCATTAAAGAAATGTAATGATTGCTATCTTATATTATAAAAGGTTTTTATGGAACACAACCAAAATCATTATACTTTTTTCTATTTACTTTTCTCAGTATTTGTAACGGTAATTCACCGAACAAAGATAGACAACAATGTTAAATTAACTATACATTCATTTAATGTCGTTTTAGTCACAATTAATATCATGTCAAGGAAAATATTTTAAACTCGTATTCACCCGAGGGGAGACGTGGCCACGAGACGAGAATGAGGTCAGACGCGGAGACAAGCTCCAGGAAGGAAGACGTCCGGAACAGAGAGCGTAAGGCTCGCTGCTTATAAATGAGTATAAGACTCATTTTGCCGAATGTTACGTTTTACTGTAGAAGCATAAGGCTTCTCATTGCTCAGGCAGCGAACATAAGGTTCGTTGGCCATTTAGTGAGTATAAGACTCACGAAACGAGGAACCAGTAGGAGGGTTCGGAAACCATAATTTTCGGTGAGTTGAAATAATTACCCCGTGATTTGCTATTGTTGTAATACTAAAATTATATATTAAGTGTTATGTATTTGTATGTATATGTTAATTATGCATAATATTTTTATGTAATTCTATGTTTATTCTTTGATGTAATTGTAATTAACTAATTTGTAAATTTTCTTATATGTTATTTCTTTGTAATTTCAGTAATCAGCATATAAACATTTGGACAAACAAAAGGATGTTTATCTGAATTCCGAAACTTTCCAACCCAATCATCCTAAGTTCCACAGTGTTAATAGAATAAAAAAAATGATAATACCAAGTCGACCGAATTATCCAGATACATTGCACAGAATCTGAGGATTATAAATTACGTAGATAAATACTTTACATTTCTTTTCCATCAACTCTTACTCTTGTTTTTATAACCAAACCCTTACTGGTGAGTTGTAATCAGTTGGTTAAATAACAATTTACCTTACATTTGCCTTTAATTAATTAATTTACCAATTTTTATCGTTCCTACACTGAAATACTAAATGGAAACAGATACATGTGGTTGGAATTAAAATAAACTTTTATCCATTTCGGCATTAAGAAAATTTAGTTATACATAAGATGTCGACATAGATATACTATACCATTTAAATAATCGTTTGTAAAAACACATATCTATATTTCTATTCATAGCTTTAATTACATCTAAATCTAGTTCAGACCTGATGTACATCAAAATATTTTCCTATTTCTGAAGACGAGACTAAAAAAATCCCTGAAGTCATTCCTGGAAATAGGATAAACCAACAGTTAAGCAAAAGGACAAGAGAAAAAAAAGAAAAAAAAAACTGACCTTGACTGTGGAATAAGTACCGTGAGGCGGCGAGGAAGCCAAGCCAGTCGTGCAACAGCCGCCGTACAGACACCACCACCATGCGCGCCTCTCTCGTCCTCCTCGCTGGCGTCGTCCTCCTCGCCCTCCTGTGCGGGTGAGTTCTAGGGCGGGGGTGGGGGTCTTTCGGGGAAATTCTGCTCAATATAGGACAAGGATATAGACCTTGGTGTAAGATGACTTTCATTTCTCGCTTCCGTTTTCTCTATCTCATGAGCATATTTTCTTGAATGAACAGGTCTTCGTACTGTTCCATCTCCAACGAATGACGTTTTTCCCACTCTTTCTCTCTCTCTTATGATGCCTATTGTGCATGGTGATTGCAGGACCGAAGCTCACAAGTGCGAGGATTGCAGCACTGTCTCCTGCCCGAGCACAGCCGACTGCATCCACGGCACCGAGCGCGAACATTGCAACTGCTGCGACGTCTGCCGGAGGGTGAGCCTTATACAAGGATAAGTGTGTGTGATGAATTTGCGTGTTAGAGACTGCATTTAAGGGATCTCCGCATCCTTTTGTGGGTGTAGAGGGTGCGAGTAGGCTTATGTGTGGAGTCAGTGTGTGTGTGCGAATGTGAGTGTAATAATAATAATAATAATAATAATTCAATAATTTAGGATTCTTTTTGGCTTCAGTGAAAATTCGGTTGCCTGTTTATTTTTTCCGCTAAATTACCCCCTATGTGCAATAAATGGCTGATTATCAGTGCGGGATTTGCACGCAGCTCACCAAGATTGATAGAGATCGCTATCTCTACCACACATACATATATGTGTGTATGTGGACGTATGGGTGTATGACTGCGTTTCTGTATATACGTACATATGTACATATATAGATAAATGTATATATATATATGTATGCATGTATGTATGTATGTGTAAGGCTATGTACATATACATGTACACATATATGCATATGTGTATTATATATACAAATAAATACATATAAATGCCTATACATAATATTTCCTCGCATAACCATCCATGTCATAATTTGCATCTCTCCCTGACAGGCTGCCGGCGAGAAATGTGACGGTCACGAGCACATGGACGGCATTTGCATAAGCCCACTCAAATGCAAGAAAAACGTTTGTACTTAGAACTACGCTGTTGATCCTTGGTTACACTAAAAAGAATGTAAGTAGAAGACATGGCAGAAACATTACGTTAATTATACGTTTATTTCTACAATATGTTGATGAAATTAATTCTACATTTACATCCCTTCTGTGTGTTTCTTGCACTATGTTCTAAGGACGAATATTTGTAATGTAAGGCACAAAATTATATCCCGATTTGTTACGTTTTCTACATATTTTTTCTTCAACTTTCAGGATGAAAAAGGAGTGGAAATAATTCAGTGCTGAATCCTACTTCTCAGCATCTCAATGAAGAATGAAATGCCTTGTTGTGAAAAACAAAATGGAAAAAATGCATCCTGTACACTGAAATACAAGAATGACGTAGATGGCAATTGACTTTTGAACATCCTAACAAAATATTCCGTTAAGATTTAGCCATTCCTTCTCAACTGTGTCAGTCATTCTAGACTGGGTCATTCCTTCTAAACAGGGTCGTTCCTTCTAACATTCCAGTGTTGCATACAAATTCTGAAGTGTAACTACAGCACCTTCATTATCACTGAACTCTTTTATGTATCATACGCAGTAAAGGAAACACAGTCCTAAAATTATTTGGCACAGATTCTCCACTTTCCTCAATAAAGTTTGCGTAAAATGGCTAAGTGCGACACAGCATGCCGGGCTAAGGATGATTTATTTATAGGAACACATCTGAATGAACAGGCCAATATCCGCCCGGTCGCTCCTCACTGCTTCACGAGCGTTCCTCACCTTACTTACGCTATCGCAGATCACGAAACTATCCTTGAGCATAAAAAGCTTAACACCCCACAGTTTGTAAATGAACGATGCTAGTGTTTCCACTCTTTGGTTGTAGTGGGAGAATCTAGAGGACTTGAGATGTTTCTCCATGATGAGATAACTTGTGTCGTATTATTACTAATGAGTGTTACTTGGGGTTTGTCCAATTTTAATACAGCACATTGCGAGTATGAAACATTATGCAACAAAACAATATATCCTCTTAAACTTACACATTAATTAAAGTGTGCTCACACATAAGAGACCTTATGGTAAATATTCCACAATTAGCATCAATAACATTAATATCTTGACAGATAACATTACTCATAGAATAGATAATTAATGGAAAATAACCTTACATGAGGAATATGTACATACAGATTCCTCACAGATTGCAAATATTGATTCTTAACTTCCCAAATTAGTACACCATGCATAGGAACAGTTCTTAATATAAACTGTATACATACTTTGAGGTGAATATATGGCTAGCAGCACAGACTTATCTCAGGAAAATGGTATGGGTCTGGGCAGATATGAAACAAGGTGACCTCGTCGGTTAAGCCATGCCAGTAGGCCCTAAACATTAACGATTCACTCGCTATCAAATAATAAAAAACAGCCTCCGAAAGAAGGCTTCATCCATTCCCGCACTGTGAAATATTCCTCTTATGTAATGCTCTTTATTTCAAATAATGTACTCTTCTTTCACCATTTCACACGGCCATAATCCATGGTCAAAAATATAAATTTGGGAAATCATAACTTTTCTTCCTTAAGAAAAAAAATAGAATAATGACTGATGGTTGATGGTGATGATAATGATGATAGTAACAAAAGAATAAAACATGTTCATTATAATGAACAATAGCATCCTTTCAACAACTCACCCTAAGGGCAAGGTTATTTCACAAAAAATAAATTCAGGGCCGTGCTTACATTACTGACTGCTTTGGACAGATATTACCATCACAGAAATGCAAAAGTTCACTCTAATTATTATTACTAACACATTGCATTCTGAATTATAACATGAAAGATAAAGCTTACCCTTAAATCTACAGGAATGAATTAAATCTTTCACATACAAAAACAAGATATATTTGTTTCAAAAAATATCTGGCTGCGACTTATAGTCAAGTTATAGCTGGAAAGGTGAACTTTCCAAAAAACGGAAGAGAGACAAAATGGAAAAAAAAAAGATGAAGAAGAACAAGAAATAAAAAAAGAGAAAGATAGAGAAGAACAAGAAATAGAAAAATAGAGAAAGAACATGAAGTTAAAGAAAAAAAAGATAAAATCATGAGGGGAAATCCTATTTGACAAACATTTTTTTGTAATTTTGCTCCCAAAGTGAGACGTTCCCTTCCTGCGCCCCAGTCACCCCTTCCCTCCTCGCATTCCTCGTCACGTTTTCTTCTTTTTGGGCTTGTCTCTGGCTGGCGTATAAGGCTGCCTACACACGGAGCGTTTTTTCAACGCGCGTCATAAAAGACGCCGCTACCTACACACGGGGCGTTGTTTTCCGGTTCAGTTGGCAGTGCAGCGACAGCAGTAGAGGAAGAAACATTCATAATCTAGTTCATTTCAATCAAAGATTCATAATCTAGTTCAAAAATTCATAATCAATTCACAGTCTAGTTCGACAGCCATAATAAAGACTACTGAAAGACTGGAAAGTTGATGTGATGCAAATCTGAAAACAGGTAAATTAATCAATATTAATCAATACACTGATAATAATATTCACTTCTATATAGTCTCTACACATGAATTTTTCAGCAATTTGATCTATATTTCACCAAATAAAAATCAAATCAAAATGTTTTCGAACACAAAATAGTCCTATGATAATGAAAACGAGCGAGTACAAACTCACAACGCGACGCTCCATCTGTAGGTCTCGTAGCAAATGCACACCCGCCACTGCTGAGCAGTGCAAACAACGCCTGAACTTTAGCAGGATGACGCCAGACGCTTCAGCGTCACAATGACGGTCGTCTTCTTGACAGCATCTGCTAGCACAGTCACCTAAAACTGACCGTCGTTTTCGACGCGCGTCGAAAAAACGTTCCGTGTGTAGGCAGCCTAAAGGCTGGCAGCACCTTATACATTAAAACACTGAATGAAAATGCTGTCCTCTGTGTGTTTTGTGTGGATCTGTTCATGTGCGAGTTGATGGAATAAAAATACGGCAATGATAATTCATTACTTTGCCGATACCAAGTCAACCAGATTATCCAGATACATTGCACAGAATTTATTATAAATGACGTTTATTTTTCTCTTTATTTTTATTTTTACCCTTGTTTTTATAAGCAAATCCTTACTGATTAGTTGTAATCAGATAAATTACAATTTAACTTACATTTACCCTGAATTCCTTCTGGTTAATTAATCTACCAATTTTTAGCTTTCCTACATTGAAATGCTAAATTCACAGGCAGTTTAAGAGGCCCATAGCATTTAGATATCAAGAAAACAGTCATACATACGATATCTAAATATATATACTATACCATACAATATTCGTTTATAAAGATACAAAAATATTTATATCTGTATCTGTATATATATTCAAAACTTTACGTGTAACTAAATCTAGTTGAAACCTGATTATCAAAATATTTTCCTATTTCTGAAGACGAGATTCTAAAAAAATAACCGCACATATTCCTGAAAAACATTCTTGGAAATAGTTAAGCAAGAGGACAAGGGCAAAAAAAAGAAAAAAAAAACGACTTAGATTGGAATAAGTACCGTGAGGCGGCGAGGAAGCCAAGCCAGTCGTGCAACAGCCGCCGTACAGACACCACCACCATGCGCGCCTCTCTCGTCCTCCTCGCTGGCGTCGTCCTCCTCGCCCTCCTGTGCGGGTGAGTCCTAGGGCGGGGGTGGGGGTCCTTCGGGGAAATTCTGCTCAATATAGGACAAGGATATAGACCTTGGTGTAGGATCACTTTCATTTCTCACTTCCGTTTTCTCTGTCTCATGAGCATATTTTCTTGAATGAACAGGTCTTTGTACTGTTCCATCTCCAACGAATGACGTTTTTCCCACTCTTTTTCTCTCTCTTATGATGCCTATTGTGCATGGTGATTGCAGGACCGAAGCTCACGAGTGCAAGGATTGCAGCACTGTCTCCTGCCCGAGCACAGCCGACTGCATCCACGGCACCGAGCGCGAACACTGCAACTGCTGCGACGTCTGCCGGAGGGTGAGCCTTATGCAAGGATAAGTGTGTGGGATGAATTTGCGTGTTAGAGACTGCACATAAGGGTTCTCCGCATCCTTTTGTGTGTGTAGAGGGTGCGAGTAGGTTTGTGTGTAGAGGCAGTGCGTGTGTGCGAATGTGTGTGTAATAAGAATAATAATTCAGTAATTTAGGACTCTTTTGACTTATATGTGTATGTGGACGAATGGGTGTATGACTGCGTGTCTGTATATACGTACATATGTATTCATATGGATAAATGTGTGCTTATATATATGAACGTATGTATGTAAGTGTACCTCTATGTCCATATATATAGATGTATGCATAAGTATATGCATACATATATTATATATATATATATATATATATATATATATATATATATATACATATAAATGCTTATATATGTTTCCTCGCATAACCATCCATGTCATAATTTGCATCTCTCCCTGACAGGCTGCCGGCGAGAAATGTGACGGTCACGAGCACATGGACGGCATTTGCATAAGCCCACTCAAATGCAAGAAAAACATTTGTACTTAGACTTTTATGCTGTTGATCTTTGTGTACACTTAAATGAGTGTAAGTAGAAGACATGACAAAAACATGATGTTAATTATATGTTAGATTCTGCATTATATTGATGAAATTAATTCTACATTTACATCCCTTCTATATGTTTCTTGCACTATGTTCAAATGACGAATATTTGTAACGTAATACGTAAGATTATATCCCGATTTGTTCCGTTTTCTGCATGATTTTTTTTCTCTTAAATTTTCAGGATGAAAAATGAGTGGAAATAGTTCAGTGCTGTATCCTACTTCTCAGCACCTCAGTGAAGAATGAAATGCCTTGTTGTGAATAACAAGATGGAAAAAATACATACTGTAAACTGAAATACAAGAACGACATAAATGGCAATTGATTTTTTGACCATCCTAACAAAATATTCCGTTAAGATTTAGCCATTCCTTCTTGACTGTGCCAGTCATTCTAGACTGGGTCATTCCTTCTAAACAGGGTCATTCCTACTAACATTCTGAGACATGCAGCAAGATTTTGATGAAGTGTTATATAACCATATTCTGACATGTCCGTCTTAATTGAGGATAATGCTGAGTTTGAATACACTCTTTCATTTCTTTGTCTTGAGGCTAATGCACTAAACATTAATAAAGGAAACCAAAAAATGTAACAAAGCTGTAGGTAAAGTGAAGGGAAATGGGTAGACTTCAAGAATCTTATCAACTGCATTATAATGTAGGGTAAATTAACCTTATGCAGACTGTGAGATACTGCCTATTGTATTCTGTGTTTGGTCTTCTTTATTTCCATTTAGTTTATATCAGAAACGAAAGAGAAATATTG